GTGAAAAAAAACTTCTGAGAGTGGGACGGGCTCCAAGGGAGGACCACCCACAAGGTGAGGTAAGTCTTTTTGAGACAGTCTCTCTGTAGCCCCAGCTGGCCTAGAACTCACTATACATAGACCAGACTGGCCTCCCCAGTGCTGGGATTAAAGGCTTGTGCCACCACACCTGACTGAGATAGCATTCCTTTTTTTTTTTTTTTTCCTCTAGAGACCGGATCTCCCTGTAGCCCTAGGTGGCCTGGAACTTGCTAAGTAGACCAGGCTGTCCTCATCTCACTCTCACAGAGGTCCATCTGACTCTGCCTCCCAAGTGCTGGGATTAAAGGCATGCACCACCATGCCTGACTTGAAATAGCACTCTTTTTTTTTTTTTTGTCTTTTTGAGACAGGGTCTCCCTGTAGTCCAAGCTGACCTGAACTCACTATGTAGACCAGGCTGGCCTTGAACTCACAATGATCTGCCTGCCTCTGCCTCCCAAATGTTGGGATTAAAGGCATGTGCCACCACTCACTCTTTAAGAGAACTGAAAACATCATGTTGCTTATTACTCGACAGTGTAATGTGGATGAGGGATTATGAAACCTGAGTTCTGATCTCAGTTCTGCTCACTAACCTTAGAAAATTATTTATTTTTAAATATTTTATTATTTTTATTTTATGTGTATGTGTGTATTGCCTGCATGTAGGTAAGTGCACCCGTGTCATGCACTGGCTGCGGAGGACAGAAGAGGCCGTCGGATCCCCTGGAATTGGAGTTATGGACAGTTGTTAGCTGCCGTGTGGGTGCCGGGATTCGAACCCGGGTCTTCTGTAAGAACAGTGTTTGTAACCACTGAGCCATCTCTCCAGCCCCTATTTATTTTTTTCTCTTTTTGAGACAGGGGCTTCCTGTCCAGTTGGCCTGGACCTCAATATGTAGACCAATCTGGGCTTGAACTCATAAAGACCCATTTGCATCTGCCTGCCAAGTGCTGGGATTAAAGGCGTGGTAGCAAGTAAAGATGCTTGCTTCCAGGCATGACAGCCTAAGTTGGATCCCCTGACCCACATGGTAGGAGTAGAAAATTGACCCTCATGGGTTTTGAGTACTGTGACATGTATCCCTCCACACACAAATAAATAAATGTAATTTAAAATTTAAAAGGCATCCTTATCTTTTTTCTATTTATTTATTTATTTATTTATTTATTTATTTATTTATTTGAGGGTCTCATTTTCCCAGGTTGGCTTTGGTAGCTGAGGGGGATTATAAGCCTATATCACCATGCCTGGCTTATGCCATGGTGGGCATTGAACCCAGGGCCTTGTGTAGCAAGGCAGGCACACTGCCAGCTAAGCTAAATCCCCAGACTGCCTTTTAAAAGTTTTTTCATGTTTCCTGTGCGTGTGTGTGTGTGTGTGTGTGTACGCACACGTGTACGCATGGGTACATGTACATGTGGAGGCCCAAAGTTGATGTTGGGTTCCTTCTTTAATTGCTCTCTACTCTGAACTCAGAACTTAACCAATTCCAGCTAGTTTAGCTAGCCAGCCTATCTCCTCCTGAGTGCTGGGATCACAGGTGGCTGTCATCCCTGCTCAACTTTTACATGAGCTCTGGGGGTCTGAAGTTTGGTCCCCACACTTGCTTGTATGGCAAGTCCTTTTCCACTGAGCCATCTCCCCACCTCCTTGTTTATCTTGAAGTCCCTAAGCTACATGTATCTTCCTTTGTGCAGTCATTGTAGCATATGTTAATCCCCCCAGTAGGGGCTCATGTATCCTAGGCTGGAGCCCCTACGGGGGGACTAATGCATATCCTGGGCCGGATTGGAACTTGCCATGTAGCCAATGATGACCTTGAACATTTTTCTTAAGATTTATATTTACTTTGTGTGTGTGTGTGTGTGTGTGTGCGCGTGTGTGTGTGTGCGCGCACGCCTGAGGAGACCAGAAGATTTTGTATCCCCTGGAACTGAAGTTACAGGCAGTTGTGAAGTATCAGATGTGGATACTGGGAACAGAGTTTGGGTTCTCTGGAAGAGCAGCAAAAGCTCTTAATATTTGAATACTGTATGTAATGTTAGGTATCTTTTTTTTTTTTTAAAGCTTTAGGACAGTTTATGGGTATTTAAAGAGAAATCCTCAGGGCAGGGAAGCTGTAAGTCTGAATAGCTGCCCTAAGCAGGAGAAGGAAAATAAAAACATAAAGCCATGCCCATTTAGAGCAGGCACGGAGGTCAGACACATGGCAGACTAGTGGCCGCATGGTGGAGAGGGGAAGGGAGCTTTAGAGAAAAAGTAAAGAAACCTGAAACGCTGGGGCAGTTCAAAGCATTATGAAAAGCACAGTCAGAAGTGAGGTCTGAAGAAGGAGCAGGAAGAGGCAGACTTGTGGTGAGCTACATGTCCGTGGCTGGCTCCAGAAGCACTGCCTGGAGACCTTCTAAAAGATGTGTTTCATCTTGGAGATCTTTTCATATCAGCACATTGTGAGTTTCCTCATGATTATTCATTTATTTATTTATTTATTTATTTTTAAATATTTATTATTTTTATTTTATGTGTAATGAGTGTATTGCCTGCATGTGTGTAAGTGTGCCTGTGTCATGCAGTGCCCACAGAGGTCAGAAGAGGGCATGGGATTTCCCTGGAACTGGAGTTATGGACAGTTGTTAGCCACCATGTGGGAGCTGCGAATTGAACCTAGTTCCTGTGCAAGAGCAGACAGTGCTTCTAACTGCTAAGCCATCTCTCTAGCTCCTTTACTTTTTTGAGGCTAGGTCTCACTATATAGTTCTGGCTGGCCTGGAACTTGCTATGTAGACCAGGCTGGCCTTGAACTCAGAGATCTACCTGCCTCTGCCTCTGCTGGGATTAAAGGTATGTGTCCCTATGCCCAGCTTTTCTGCAGTATTAATGATTTATGGAAACACCGTGGTTAGGAATTTTTATGTGATACAGTCCCAAATGATTGTGACATTTGGATGGCCTTTGAGCCTTTGATACATTTTTTTTTTTCTATAGTTTTTAAGCACTTTACAATCTTGAAATTGGTCCTTACAAAACCTCTTTGGGGTAATTCCTGTATAGGGCACATTAGGTACATAGAGCAAAAATATACTTAAGATTCTACTGACTATGGTGTATAAAATCTTCACCCTGTTCCTTCTAGGGGACTGCTGGCAAGTGTTGTGCGAAGAATACAGCCTGCTTTGTAGAGGCTGGTAACAGCCTTCATTGCTGTGTTTGTAACCATTGGTGAATTTACTTCCTTTCCTTGACTTCCCTAAAACCAGTAAAGCGTGCAAGAGAAGGATCTCCACTTAGCTGAAGCTCTGAGACACAAAACCAGTGTAGAGAGAAGGCATGCAAATGTCCTTTTTACAGAGTAAACATTTTAACCTGAAAAAAATCCTTACCGAAGTAAGGTGTATACAGAAAAAATTACTTCCTTAATGAAATTGGAGATGTTTATTTAGACGAATGTGGCTCCTTAAATAGTTACAGGTTTGCTAGCGAGAAAGATTGAGAAAGATCGGGAATATGTTCAGCCAGGACTTGACACCTAGGAAGATTCTCTTAAAGAGAGTATGGCCTTACCTTTGTAATTTGACCTGTTCGGAATGTACAAATGGAATGGAAGGGACTGAAGTTTCAGTTTCATGGTCTTTTTTTTTTGGGGGGGGGTCTTTTGTTGAGACAGGGTATCCCTGTAGCCCCAGCTGTCCTGGAACTCACTATGTGGACCAGGCTGGCCTTGAACTCACAGAGATCCACCTGCCTCTGCCTCCTGAGTGCTGGGATTAAAGGCGTGTGCTACCACGCCCGGCCAGTTTTATGTTTTTATTAGTGCTAAGACAACCCAATTTGCTGTTTTTCCATCTGGATGCTGAAGTATGCATTTAGGTTATTGCAAGCCAGTAGTAGGCCTTTGTGTTTTGTGCTCTGGATTGTGATAGTTCCCCCCAACTCCCCAGACCCCTCTTCTCTTCTCTCAATGAAGATCAGACCCAGGATCTCTGCACAGTAGGCAAACACTACCACTGAGGTACAACTCTAGCCTCTAGCCTTCTTTCTCTTTGTAAATCTGTGATTTTTTTGTTTTTGAGTCAAAGGTATAGCCTAGTCTGTCCTGACACTTGCTGTGTTGCCCAGGCTGTCTCCAAATTCATAGTCTTCTGTCTCACCCTCTCCAACTGCTGGGATGATAGATACTTCATGCCTGGCTATCTTATGTTCTTTTATCCTGATACAACTTAGCCTAAAATTATAGAAATGTAGAGGTATTTGGACACTTAAAGATTAGTAATTAATGTTTGATATATTCATGTATTAATCTGGTACTTTAAATTTTAAAAATATGTATGTAAGTGGACCCATGTCATGTAGTGCCCATGGAGGTTAGAAGAGAGTGCTGGAGTCTCCAGGAACTGGAGTTAACGAATGGTTGTTAGCTGCCATGTGGGATTCAAACCTGGGTCCTCTGCAAGAGCAGCCAATGCTCTGAATTGCTGAGCTATCTTTCTAGCCCCCTGATCCTTTTTATTGATTAAATGGGAAAACTCCAGTCCAGAGAAATGATGGCTTGCCCAGGTCAGTCACTTTATCCATAATGCTTTGCAGCAGCTGCCAAGTACCAGGTTCTTCTCCAAACAAGCTCTAATTGACGAAGCCTGCTTGATATGGGGACAAGTTTGAGAATATTTTCTGGTCCCTGATACTTTTTTTTTTTCTTCTAATGTGGACCAGCTAATAAAGGCTACAAAGAATGTCCATAGACCTTGCATGAACCTGGCTCATAATATGTAATATATGTGAAGTGAAGCAAAACTGTGGCAGGAATGAAAGAGATCCATAGGTAACTAGTAGGGTGTTGGCGAGCCATACCTGTATTTGCTTGTTTATTCTCCATCTTTCCCCACTCAGGGCAGTTAGCAGTATGTTGTGTTCACAGAGTTAAGGTGTCATGTGCTAATGAGTACATGTCTTTAAATTACTCTTTTTTTCCTTTTAGGTCCTTTCCCATAACCTGTGCACAGTGCTGAAGGTTCCACATGACCCTGTTGCCCTTGAAGAACACTTCAGGGACGATGATGAGGGGCCTGTCTCCAATCAGGGCTACATGCCATATTTAAACAAGTTCATTTTGGAAAAGGTAAGGTGCTAACCTTATCTACAACTGTGCTTACTTTGTCTCAAGCGGGCTAAGGAAGTCCTTATTGGTGAGCTCATTAAGAAGTTGGGTGTGAGGCATGAGGAAGTAAATAGGAAAGGAGCAAGGAAGGAGGCTGCTGCTTCCTGCTCCTCGCTGTCCTCTAGTCTCTTCTAAAATATATTTTTAATATATTTTATTATTTTTATTTTATGTATATGCCTGCATGTGTATGAGTGCACCCGTGTCATGTATTGTTCTTGAGAGGTTGTAAGGGGACATCAGATCCCCTGGAACTGGAGTTATGGACAGTTGTTAGTCACCATATGGGTGCTGGGACTCAGACCCGGGTCCTCTGCAAGAGCAGCCAGCGTTCTGAACCACTGAGCCATCTCTCCAGTCCCCTTAAAATTTTATTTTTATTTTTATTTTATGTGTATGTTTTACCATGTGCAACGCCTGAGGAGGCCAGAAGAGGGCGTTGGATTTTCTGGGATTGGAGTTATGGATGGTTGTTAGCAGTGTGGTTGCTGGGAACTGAGTCAAGGTTCTCTGCAAGAGTAGCCAGTGGTCTTAACCACTGAGCCATCTCTCCAGCCCCTCCTACACTCTCTTTTAAAAACTTGATTTGACATTTTTCCAACTTGGCTTCTTCTTTATCTCACCATGTGTTTGTTTGTTTGTTTGTTTGTTTGTTTGTTTGTTTGAGACAGTTTCTCCCTGTATCCCTAGCTGGCCTGAACTCAACTGGCATTGATCTCACAGGGATCTGCCTGGGATTAAAGGTGTGAGCCACCACACCTGACTTTTGAGACAAGGTTTCATGGCATGACTTTGAACTTCTGATCCTTTTGCTTCTCTCTCCTAAGCACTGGGATTCCAGGCATATGTCACCATGTCTGGTTTTTGCAGTGCTGGGGATTGAGCCTAGGGTTTTGTTCATCTAGGAACCACTGTAGCACCTGAGCTACATCCCCATCCTGGAATTGAAAAAATAATTTGAAGGGCTGGAGAGATGGCTCAGCAGCAGTTAAGAACACTGACTGTTCTTGCAGGAGACCTGGGTTCGAATCCCAGCACCCGCATGGCCGCTAACAACCGTCAGTAACTCCAGTTCCAGGGGATCCAACAGCCTCTTCTTTTGTCCGAGGGCATTGCACAACATGGGTACACTTACCTACATGCAGGCAATATACGCATACACATAAAATAAAAATAATAAATAAAATTTTTAAAAACAATTTGACATCTTTTTATAATATCAAAGTAATAAACATTTAAAATAATTTAAAGTAGTAGGTTGAAAACTGGCAAGATATTGGCAAGGATTTTTTTTTTTTTTTTTTTTTTTTTTTTTAGCAGGGGTTTCCCTTTAGCCCCCCCTGGCCCAGAACTCTCTTTGTAGATCAGGTTGGGCTTGAACTCACAGAGATCTGCCTATCTCTGCCTCCCAAGTGCTGGGATTAAAGGTGTGCACCACCAGGCCCAGCTCTCTTTTAGGAATTTTTAAATGTTTAACAACCAGATGTGCATCACCTAGGAAAAGCAGAGGTAGAAATAGTAACATTTAATGGGGTTGGTGTTTCTAGTTGAAATAATGAAAAATATTCTAGATTAGTGTCCTCGACCTCCCCCCCACACACACACACATGTGATGGCATGGGTGTGCCCACACATATACATACACACACAAAATAAATAAATATTGACGAAATAAGAATAAAATATTCAAAAAATAAAGTAAAAATAAGATATATTTACTTAGAATTACAGAACACAAATGAACTCTCTAATCAATAAAAACTGGACAGCAGCAGAAAAACAAAAAACTCCAGAAGACAGTACAGCACCGTATTGTCAAGTTTTGAAATCTCACACATCAGTTCCTGTACAGTACAATTATGTTTCTTGAGATTCAATTCACATACTATAAAATGTACCCAGCTGTAGTAAACAGAATGGGCTTAGTATATACTCACAGGCTACAACCATGTGGATTCTGGGGATTGAACTCAGGTCATCAGGCTTGGTGGCAAGTGCCCTCACCCACTAAGCCATCTTACAGGGTCTTTATTTTTTTTGAAAGAATATCTTCCTGTATAACCTAAATGGCCTCAAACTTGCCATCCTTTTGCACCCTGCCCCAGTAGGTGTTATATTTGGCAAATATTTGATGACTTGCTATATGCATGTTGTTTAACCTTAAAACTTATAGACAGTAACTGGGTATAATCCTAGACTTGGGAGGTGGATGCAAGTGGATCAGACATTTAAGGTCACCCTCAGGTACATAGTATGTTCATGGCCAACCTGGGCTACACGAGACTCTTTTATTTCTTTATTTACTTATTTATTTTAAAATTATGTATATGTATATGTCTGTATGTGGGTATTGAATGTGAGTGCAGGTGCCCACAAAGGCCAGAGGTGTCAGATCCCTCTGGAGTTGCTGTTAAAGGCAGTTGCGAACTGTCTGATGTGAGTGTTGGAATTTGAACTCAGGTCCTCTGTAAGAATAGAACATGCTTTTAAACTGCTGAGCCGTCTCTCTAGCCGGAGACTCTATTTCTAAAAATGAAAACATACAAAAAAATTACAAACACTAAGGGAGATTATGTGCATAATTAAGATATTATAGGATATACTGAGGAGGTCTCAGAAGTCTGGAACTTGCTTTGTTTTCCAGTGATAGAATTTCTGGGGTCTGGGTGGTGGCGAGGGGGACTATCTACTGACTTAATTTTTTTTTTTCCGAGTTGATATTTTATTTGGTTAGAGTCTGATAAGTGTTGATTCATAGATTGTTGGACTGATTTTGAGTCTACATCAGGCTTGTTAGAATACACTTCTTAACTAACATTTTGGGGAGCAGAGGAGATTCTTTTTGAACTAATATTGGTAATTATTAAATTACTACTGGTGGCTTTTGGAAGGAAGAAAAGTTTACTGTTTAAATTTTGGATTCAAATTCACATGTATTCCCACCCCCTAAGTTAATATTTTGATGTGCTACACCCTGTTACTGCATTTGGTTCCCTTGTGTAGTTTTTTGTTTGTTTGTTTTTTGTTTTTGTTGTTGTTTTGGTATTTTTTGAGACAGGGTCTCCCTGTAGCCCCAGCTGGCCTGGAACTCACTATGTAGACCAGGCTGGCTTTGAACTCACAGAGATCCACCTGCCTCTGCCTCCCGAGTGCTGGGATCATCCCCCAAAGAAGTATTGTACATTTAGAGTCATCCCAGTTCTCCTTTTCCCCAGTCTGCTGGAAACCATTGACCTACTTTCTGTCTCTATGGATTTTTCCTATTATGAATATTTATTTTTAATTTATTTTTATTTCATGTGTATGAGTGCTTTAGTTTATATACGTCAGTGTATCATGTGTGTGCAATGCCCGTGAAAGCCAGAAGAGGGTGTCTGATCCCTCGAACTTTGGAACTTTGGATGGTTGTTTGCCACCATGTGGGTGCTGGGAACTGAACCCAGATTTTCTGAAAGAGCAGCCAGTGCTCTTAACTACTGAGCCATCTCACTAACTCCTTTATGCATATTTCATGTTAATGGAGCTATACAACATGTGGTCCTTTAAAAATTATTTATTATTTTAATTTTATGTTTCTGAGTGTGTTGCCTACATGTGTGTAAGAGCATCTGTGTTGTGCAATGCCTGAGGAGGTCAGAAGAAGAGGGTGTCAGATCCCTTGGAACTGGAGTAACAGATGGTTTTTAGCCACCTGTGAGTGCTAGGAACTGAACCCAGGTCCTCTGCAAAAGCAGTGATCTTAACTGCTGAGCCATTTCTCCGTCCTCACGGTATGTGGTGTTTTGTATGGTGTCTTTAATGTAACATTTTCAAGATTTATCCATGTTGTAGCATGTGTGAGTACTTTATTATTTATTTTTATTTTATGTGTATGAGTGTTTTGCCTTCATATATGTGTGTGCCCATGTGTGCAATGCCCATGGAAGCCAGATTAGGATGCCAGATCTCCTGGAAGTGGAGTTATGGATAGTTGTTAGCCACCATGTTGGTGATGGGAACCAGACCTGGGTCCTCTGAAAGAAGAGCCAGTGCTTTTTAACCATGAGCCATCTCTCTAGCCCCATACTTTATCTTTTGTGGCTGAATAACATTCCAAATAACATTCCAAAGCCACATTTTGTTTACCTGTTTGTTAGTTGGTAGATACCATTTTTTTCTTCCTTCTTTTTTTTTCGTTCTTTTGTCTTATTTTTATTTTTATTTATTTTTTGTCTTTTTGAGACAGGGTCTCCCTGTAGCCTCAGCTGTCCTGGACCTCACTATGTAGACCAGGCTGGCGTCGAACTCGAAAAGATCCGCCTGCCTCTGCCTCCCAAGTGCTGGGATTAAAGGCATGCACCACCACACCTGGCTGTCTTACTCATTTTTTTTTTTTTTTTTTTTTGGTTTTCAGGGTCTCCCTGTAGCCCCAGCTGTCTTGGATCTCACTATGTAGACCAGGCTAGTCTTGAACTCACAGAGATCCGTCTGCCTCTGCCTCCCAAGGGCTGGGACTACAGGTGTGTACCACCATGCCCGGCCATCTTACTCATTTTTTTGGGGGGGGGTCCTTTTAAAACTATAGCCAGCTCAAAGAATAAAAAGGTGTTGTTTTAAGTCTTTAAAAATTGGCATGAGGTGTGGGTCAGGGTAGGCTGGATAGATGGCTCAGCAATTAAGAGCACTGACTGCCTGATATAAGAAACAGTCTCTTGTACTTTGTTTTCTGTCTCCCTGAAAGTCCCTAATCAGACAGCCGTGTGACACCCCATTGTACACCTGGGTGGAGACAGCAGCAGAGAGAGCTCCTGGAGGGAGCACCTGTATGGTGCATCTACACACTTGAATTGGAGTCCAGGGCCACCTGCATTCCCTTTATTATAGCATTTGTGCAAGGGTTAGTCTGTCTTTCCACTGCCTAGATTCCTAGGATAGATGTTATGAAGTAGGGACTGTGTCTTATTTGAGGTGAGATCCTCCTG